ATTATGAAATTGTGTGACAAAAAGCTGGTTCCCACAAGGTCCAGAACTAACTACTGATATGACAAAAGTACATAGAGTAGTACAAACTCAGGAACAATCTAAGAGGAAAATAATAATGCCTATCTCCCAAATCAGTAAAAAAGCTCATTGGGTCTGACTTTTAATTTCAACTTGAAGTGCTCAATGGAAGCCCCATGGTTGGAATACAAATAATCTCAACTGTGTCTGATAAGGAACAGAACACTTAATGTTGGTATCCAACCAAAAGAAAAACTTGTTTGAGCTCATCACTAGCTTAATAAAAACAGTCAGGGAGCCGTAGAACAAAATACATTATACGAAAAAAAGACTAGAACAGCAAAATTGATTTCATTATCCAGCCTTCATTATTCTTCTTGGAGGATGTATTTTCGTTGTTGAAGCAAACAGCTTTCAGTATATAGTAGAAAAATTGGTTTTAAGTGGTTTCAGATTGCTGAGGACTAACAACATAAAATTCTGTACAAAAGAAGAGGAATAAGCAAAACCTAAACGAACAGTACCATGACATATTAACAATAAACTCTTGTTTCTGGTTTAAAAGGAAATCAAGAAATTACATACAGATGAGCTACAAACAAAAAAACAAGGAAAGGGAAACAGTACTCAAAAACACATCTGCAAGGAAAACACCTGCTTAGTGGGACACCAGGAAATAAAACTGCTCATTGCTGAAATGTTTTAGGATTCTAAACATACCATCATCATCATAGTAAATGCGAACATCTCCTTCTGTTGTGTACATGATTGAATCAATGTCAGCTGCTAAAGCATCCCTGTGGCTGTCAGGGAGCAAAGAAATCTTTTCCTTCAGCACCTGAAGTACCTAAATTCAGAAAAACTGTCAGTTTTTCATTAGGAAATTGAAGTAACAATCTTTTTCTACTGCAGTTAATAAAATGAGCTGTATTGCTAAAATATTTGTGCAACATACACCACAGCGGAAGTGAAAAGCACTGGGAGGTCTGGGCACTCCTAACCCTCATTCAGCAGCACTGAAGACTCATTTACTGCTCAAAACCAATGGAAAACAAGTATCTTAAAAAATGCTTAGAAAAGGTACTGTCAAAAGAGTAGCTGCATTGCAAGGCACATAACCACAGAAAACACCAGTTAAGCTTCCACAGTCACACGCTCTGCGTTCTCACTGATGATTTCTCACTATGTGTAGGTTCCTAAGCTTTTGGTTCAATTATTTCTTAGTTATCTTTTACAAATTTCATTGAAAATCAGTTTCATTGCCACCAAGTTTTTCTTTGCCATTTTGTGATCCACATTGCCTTCAAAAAAAGCTTAAACACTTGCAAAACAGAAAAGACTGCAAAATCATTGCTCTGGGAATTAAGTTCCATCCCACATTCACACTCAAAGTATCTGAGTGTCTTACAACCTACATTACTGTGCTAAGTAGAAAAATGGCGTGGTGCACAAACTGCACACCTCAAACACTACATGAGAAAGTCAAGTCACAAGAAAAGATGAAACTGTGCAGCATGTATTTTTCAGTAATACTCAGTTTTTGCCCTAACTTGATTTGCCATTTCTGAACAACAAACAAATACAGAGGTTACACAGAAGCAAGAGGCAATCTTCACTAGAAGATATTGGTTTCTAGTCCATTTTTCAGATACAAAATTCATTGGTCAAAGAAACAATGAAGTAGTGTGGTATCACAGCCTCATCTGCTACATCATCAGGTTACCTGAGGTCTCTGGATCCAGGTAAAACCTGAAAAATTTAAGATGACCAGAGGGAGTTCTTTCAAGAGGAAGCAGAGGAGATGCTCTTTGAAAACAACAGCAAGAAACAAACTCACATTTTATTGCTATCTCTGTTCAGAGAGAGGAGGCAAGACTGTTCAGAGGGGATGCACTAGAACAGCACCAGAGTTTTTGCTGCAAAGGCATGGGTGGCAATAGGGCAGGCCACGCTGACATCCTGTAACACGGCAGACAGAGACCTGGAGTATCTCCTCCACTTCACTCTGATGCATCTGCCACCTCCATGCCCTGGGAAGGCCAAGACAACTTCAGCAATTAAAAATTCATAAAAACACAGAAAACACAGCACTGATATTTAACCAGGTCAGTCATACCCCTGACACCACGACACAAGACTGAGGCCTTTCAGCCCAAATCAGTAATTGGCTGTATGATCTGTGTGGGAGTGGGAACACATCAGTGCAGCAGGGATGAGCACAAAACCCTTCCTTTCTTCATCTGAATTCTGGTGCACAGAAGCTTCAGCTGCCTGCCTACACCTGGAGACTCACAATTCCACCTGCCATCCAGAACCCGCTGTCTTTCAATCCTTCCTGGTACACCAGTAATCTTTTTGGCATTTGGTCCTTATGCTCAATGGCCAAAATGTACTTTAAATACAGTAAATTAAATTAACTTAAATTAAGTTTCATGCCTTGAAATTAAACATAAAAAAAGCTGCAGGACAAACAATTGGCCTGTTCTGTGATACATTGGTTTTCCCAAATTAAACCACTGGCAGTACTTATAGGTAATGACAGGTCAAATGCATGTTACTTCACAATGGAAAATCAGTTGCTAGAACAGGAGATGGAAAGCACTTACCTCTGGTGACACAAGTTCATCCAGCAGGTCAAGTTTACGCTGAGACAGCAGCTTTGAAACAACAGAAAAGGCCTACCAAAAAAAAAAATATATACATGAACAAGTAACACTAGGTTGGCTTATTTTTCAGACTAATCCATCATTACGTGACAAGGTACCCAAATATTCCATGATTTAAGATTTCAGTATCTGCAGAAGGTATCACCATTAAAATGTAAGCATTAAAAAAGTGATTTCATGAACAGATAAAATCGTAAGGTTTCTTTCCAATCTCTCATTTAAAGCATCAAATCTTTTCATATTAGGTAACAGAATGCATAGCTTACTAAAACAAAAAAAGCATTGCAGTACTCTGTATCAGTATTTACTCTTTTTGATAATTCAAACAGTCTGTGTCTTTCCCTGTAAATATTTTGTTCCCCTGCCCTCTTTTTCAACTCATCTTCTGGTTTCAGTCAAAACTGAAGCTTCAATTTAGAAATTTTCTTTAGAAATCTGGTTTAGTGTCTGAACTTCAGGAAGCAAACCCCCTTTTCCCCCCTCAATTTTGCAGGTATATTTACATACAATAATGTCTCTACATATTCAATTAGTGGTCTTGCAAAGGATGTTGTGTTTAGGACTCTACAGCAAGTAAAAACAAACCAAACTAGGACAAGATAAAACAGGGGGTTCTGCACACATGGCAAATAATTTGGTACAGGTTGTGATGTTTTTTTCTCTCTTGAATTGATATTAATCATTTTAACATTATGTGTTGTTTTGAGCTTTTTTTTTTTTTTTTGTTCAAAGTAAATATAAAAACTGGAAGTTTCACAGCAGATAACTGTCATTTTTACATGATGAGCTTTGAGATCATTACCTCTTTGACACATTCTGTTGACAAAGCTTACTTGGTTCAAAATTTGGAGAAACAAGCATATATATCAGCTTTGTGTCTCCCTAAGCTTTATCATTTCAGGAAAACCTGCTGATATACATTTCCCCTTAAAGTCTCTGTAATGTTTGGAAGCATCGTCCTTCATGCTATTTTGGGGAATTGCTAAATCAGCTCAATTTAATTGTGGAATCTGGGAAAAGAAAACAAGAAATTCCTAAAGAAAAGCACATCTTAGCTTATATCACTCCCCCCCAAATGTGGTGCTTGGAGCCAGCAGTGGGGAACTCCATCTATTTTACATTTTGGAGCACACAGGTACTACAATATCCACACATGACATCAGGTTGGACATCGGGAGAAATTTCTTCACAGAAAGGGTTGTTAGACATTGGAATGGGCTGCCCAGGGAGGTGGTGGAGTCACCGTCCCTGGGGGTGTTCAGGGAAAGACTGGATGCCATGGCCTAGTTGACAAGGTTGTGATCGGTCACAGGTTGGATTCAATGTACAAGAGAGACATGGAGCTCCTGGAGTGGGTCCAACACTGAGGATGGACCCACTGAGGATGGACTTAAGGATCTCTTACAAGGAAAGGCTGATGGAATCAGGCCTGTTCAGCCTCATGAAGAGATGACCGAGAGGGGACCTCATTAACATGTATAAATATCTAAAGGGGGGTGCCAAGAGGATGGTTCCAGGCTCTTCTTGGTGGTGCCAAGAAATAGGACAAGAGGCAACAGGCAGAAATTGATGCCCAGAAGTTCCACCAGAACATGAGGAAGAACTTTACTGTGCAGGTGACTGAGCACTGGAACAGGCTGCCAGGAGAGGTTGTGGAGTCTCCCTCACTGGGGATATTCAAGGACCGTCTGGATGCAATTCTGAGCAAGGTGCTCTGGGATGATCCTGCAAGAGGAGGGAGGTTGGACGACATGATCCACTTTGGTCCCTTCCACCCTGACCCATTCTGTGATGATCTCAGAGCTCTTTTCCAACCTAATGGATTCTGTGATTCCATGAAACAAAACGCGGGCACCGCCAGGCCCCGGGGAGGCTCAGCGGGTCCTTTCCCCCCAGGCCGGCCGCTCTGCCCTCCCGAGGCCCCGCTCACCTGCTTGGCCCCCCGCGTGAACTCCTCGACGCTGAACTCCTGATCGAAGTAGAGGCGGATGAGCAGGTAGTAGAAGCGGGTGCGGAGCCAGGCGATGGGGCTGGTGATCCTCACCACCACAACGCGCCGCTGCGGGCCCTCGGGGCCGGGCCCGGCGGTGCTGGCGAACCGGGCGCTGGGCCGGGGCGGGGGGAGCCGGGCGGGCCCCAGCGGGGCCGTGGCGGCGGCGGGCGGCGGCAGGAGCCGAGGGGGGCCCGCCAGTGCCCGCGCCAGCCAGCGGACACGGCCCGGGGCCGCACAGCGCAGCGCCATGCTGGGCCTGCCCCGCCCCGCGGAAACACAGCCCGCCGCCGGTTCCGGCGCCGCGCGGGGACCTCCCGAGGCGAACGGCGGCTCCCGCCGCGCTGGGACGGGGGCTGCGGTCACCCCGTCACCGCGGGACACCTCCGGAGAAGGGGGGCGTCCCCTCCGCTCGGCCCTAGCGAGACCACGGCTGGAGTGCGGTGTCCGGTCCTGGGCTCCTCGGTACTAAAGGGACAAGGACCTACTGGAGAGGGTCCAGCGGAGGTGCCAAAGACGATGAGGGGTCTGGACCATCTCTCATATGAGGAGAGAATGCGTGAGCTGGGCTTGTTTAGTCTACAGAAGACTGAGAGGTGATTCATTAATGCATATAAATATCTCAAAGGTGGGTGCCGAGAGGACAGTGCCGGACTTTCCGGTGGTGCCCAGTGACAGGACAAGAAGCAATGGCCATAAACTTAAACACAAACTAACACACAAGAAGTTTCGCCTCAACATGAGGAAGAACTTCCTTACGCTGAGGGTGGCAGAGAACTGGAACAGGCTGCCCAGGGAGCAGCCTGTCTGGAGACATTCAAGACCCACCTGGACGAGTTCCTGTGCCACCTGCTCCGGTGACCCTGCCTTGGCAAGGGGGTTGGACTAAATGATCTCCACAGGTCCCTTCCAACCCCGAAAATTCCGTGATTCTGTGACCCGCGGGCTCCCATCCCTTGCTCAGAGGGAGAAGCCGGGAACGCTCCTGCGCGGGCTCTGCTTTCCGGGGGAAGCGGCGGGACGGACACGGGTCACCGGCGGTTATGGAGCGGCGGGAGCGGGAGGCGCTGGAGCTGGAGCGGCGGGAGCAGCAGGCCATGGAGCGGCGGGAGCAGCCGGCGGTGGCGGTGGAGCGGCTGGACGGGGTGACGCGGGAGCGGTTCCTGCGGGACATCTACCCGCGGGTACGGAGCGGGCTGGGGCTGCCCGGGGACACCGGGCAAGGCAGGAGGTGTCCGGTGACTCCCTACGGGCACATCTGGTGCAGGCAAACCGCAGGGTTTGGGTTTCTGTGCTCCCGGAGAGGTGCCGTGATCCAGCGAGTTGAGTGGGAGTTTAGGAGCAAGGAGCTTCTACAGGCAAATCCTGTCTGAGCTGCTGGCAAGCTCCGACGGCCGATCTCTGTGAGTCCGTTTCCTTTGGCAGTGGTTAAAAAAAGTGTGATCGCTGGTTTTGTTGCTTTGTCGTCTCTGTTCCATTTTTTTCCCCTCCCGAGGTCCCAATTCAAAGCAGAAGTGTCTTTCTGCTGATTTTTTTTATGTACCCTGGATCAAACCTGTTCGTGGTTGTCAGCAGGAAGGAACCCGTATAGTGGTGGCAAGAGCTTCTCTCATGAGAACACAGAGCACCACCACAGCTCAGTCTGCACCTTAACTCTGTGGTCTTTTGCAACTTTTCTGCTAAGCTCTGGCTAGAATGATTAAATCTGTTTCTTAGTCTGGCTAGATTCCTCGTTGGCCCCAGCACAAAGTGCGGGTTAAAACTGTTTTTGCCTCTGCATATCTTTCCTTACCCCATTAGGAAAAATGATTTAGTTAATAGAGACACAGTCCTATAATGTACTGCATTTTGTTTTAACATGCATCGTTCTGATTCACATTGCTTGTGAACAGATAAGTTGTGACCTTGAGTAGTGGGTCCTGGCATTCAACTGACTTGTTTGCATGGACGTACCTTGAAAAATTAATTCTGAATTTTTTTCCACTGGATGCTATGATCATTTCATCATTGACATTTCTTTTTGTTTTGTTCCTTAGAGAAAGCCAGTAGTTCTGACAGGAATGGAACTGGGCCCTTGCACAACCAAATGGACAGTAGATTACTTGAGCCAAGCTGAAGGATCTAAAGAAGTAAAGATTCATGTTTCCACAGTGCCACAGATGGATTTCCTCAGTAAGAACTTTGTGTATAGGTACTGCACTCCAAGGCCTCCTGTGTTTTAAAGGCATGTGCTTGTAACTTGCAGACATACAGTGCATCTGCCTGAAGCTGAGGGTGAGAATATGAAGATAGTTAGTGAAAACGTTAAATTATGTATTGAAGTGCTGTCCTTGATTTCTCCCTCTTGTATTCATTCTACAAATATCTTTATGCCCTGAATTTAACACTATGAGGATGAAATGAGGGCCCAAACAGCACCTTAAAAGAGATGTCATGGAGTAGTGTTAAAAAGGTATTTTGACAGAGCATTCCTCTAAGAAATTTGAGCCTGGCAGTTGCTGCCATTAATGAAAAAAGCAAACCAAGACACCCTTGATACTGGATGATATGCTATTTTATTCTACTTACATGGTCTGTTTTCAGTGTTACTGAATAGTGGTAGTTTCTGCCTCAACATGTGCCTGGACCTCTTTGAATGCTGGTGTGTGGCAGGCAGGGTATTCCACTCTAGGAGGGGTGTAGCTAATTAAGGCCAAGCTCCTTTCAAAGTTAGGATGTGCAGTTCTCAGAATGTTAGAACTACTGGATACCGCACATTTCACCAGCTCTTTAACCTTGATGCAGGTCACAAAACACCTTGCTCTCCTCTGAAGTTCCTCTTGGTTTTCAAGGGCAAATGCCTTTATTTTAGCTCTTGTTTGTTTACCCCAGGTGGGAACTGGATGTGTTCAGTCTGTTAAACTTTTAAGCAGGTGAAAGCATACACTATAAGTGTAAACAAGCTACAAGTCTTTGAGTGGAGCCTGTTTTTCTAGGGGGAAAAGCACATAACAATTATAGTACATTCTGTTCCCTGCATAATGAACTTTTGAATCTTAAAGGTTAGGTTGTACTTGAATGACTTTGCCTTATCTCTGTATTTTATTTTCCATGCTCTATTTTGTTTTGTTGTTGTTGTTTTTTTTTTAATTAATCTCTCTTACTGTGAGTTCACATCTAGTTAACCTGGTGTGTTAGTTTTAGCAGGTTTGTAGACAGCCATATGGAGTCTCTGGTGGTGCTTCAGTATAGCAGGTGTCAGGACTTCCACCTATTTCGCTTGAAATTCAGGAAGCTTTGACCCTTTCCATAGCAAGCCCCTCATTCTAATCTGAAGGGAGAATAGTACCAAAACAACAGAAACACTGAGGACTTAACATGCAGTTCTACGAGTTTAAACTGATGCATGTGAGTAGTACTGCAGTCCTGTTGTAAGTTGCATGCTCCTACCCCTGTCTTTGCGTTGGTTCTGGAACTCATTCAGCCAGGTTGTGATGTGCTGCAGAAGTCTGAATGTTTTTCTGCTGTTTTAGCTTTGCAAGCAGGTTCACTGTGAGGTCAGATGAGTGCCAGTGCTGCTGTAGGGGAGGAGATGGGGTGATAAGGGTAGACAGCAAGGACAGAGCTGTGGCAGCACCAGCATGCATCAGTTTAAGCTGTCGTGGAGCTGTACTCTCACTTTCTTCAGTAGCAAATGTAAATGGGCATGATACAACAGTCTAGCTGAAGTCAGAGCATTGGTTCTTGTTTGGTTTTCCATTGACTTCAGTGGTTGTATTTGCCTGTTACAAAGAAGCCTAAAGTTTAGAGAATTGCTCTAAGTACTGTCTGATGAATGTTCACATTCTGGTAGAAGGGATAACAGGATCAAGAAAAATTTTGCTTGAGGGTAGTTTCTTCTTAACCTTGGGTACTGGGAGGTTGTTCTGAAATGTGGTATTTATATTCAATAATTTATTATCCACTAATTACTAATGTGAGATGCTGAGATGAGTAAATGTAACATTGAACTCATAATATTAGTAACAGTGAACACGTCCCATTACTGCTTGTGCTTGGTTTGCCATTCAGCTGTCAACTGATACCAAAATCTGTAATCTGTATGAAAAGCTTCCATTATCTAAATAAATATGTAACACTTGTGTTGACCTCAGAGGGACCAGCTCTGATGCCCAGTGATTCCTTTTGAATCTTCTTAAGTTAGGTTTAGTAAAAGTTTAAAGAAACACTTGAAAATATAAAAAATGCTGTGTTTTGCTTAGCTGGAGAAGCACATATTTAAAAAAAACCTCAGATAACTGAAATAAATTTTATAGATCTACAGATGAAGATAGTTATCTGTGTTCATGCACAAATTCTTAGCAGAAAATGCATAGATATAAACATGTGTATGTTCCCTGCAGTAGTTTTCTTGATGCTGAACTTTTCTGCAAATTTATGAAAATGTACAGTAAACAAGTCTAAAAATTACACACTTATAGAAACAGTCTAAGCAAGTATTCCCAGGCTTTGGTCACAGTTTGAGTCTTAATTTGACTGGAAAGAAATTTCAGCTATGACTCAAAGCATTCAGAACTCCTAAGCTCAAGAGGGGATCTTTCCAAAGTGTATAAATAGTTGATGGAGGGAGTAAAGATGGAGCTCTATTCTTCTCCTGGTTCATGGTGACAGGACAAGGGGCAATGGGCACAAGATGAAATACAGCAAATTCTGTTAATCTATTGAACACACTTCCCCCATCTTTTACTGCAAGGGTGGTCAAACAATGGAACAAATGAAACAGGTTGCCTAGAGAGCTTATGGAGAGTCCATCCTTGGAAATGTGCAAAACCACACTGGATGCTGTCCTGGGCAAGCTGCTGTAGTTGATCCTGCTTTTGGCAAGGGGGTTGGAATGGAGGATCTCCAGAGGTGTCTTCCAGCCTCAGCAATTACAGGATTCTGTTTGGATATTTACAATTTACTGAAGTGGAGAAGTTTTTAAGTGTAGGATTTCTATCTCAATAGAACTCTTCAAATATCTGCTGCAAACACTGATTAGTCACCATGTTAAGTTAAAAAAGTAAAAGAGCAGTACATTCCATCTTATGTCTTACTTTATATGGTCTTACTTTTATATGGAGCTTATTATAAACCAGGCATTTACACCATGAGTTGTTACATTGATTCATGGTATAAATTTAAATATTTATATTTCAGAACTCTGCCTTTTGATGTATTTGTACGAAGAGCAGCTGAAGTCAACCACCAGGAGTACTTTCTTTCTGAGGTAATTTCTTTGGTGTCACAGTTTCTTCTGTCAGTTATTTTGCCGGTATATGGAAAGGAAAATGATGAATTGTAATTTAAAAGTTTACTTGATCTTAGATGTAACTTTTTTGCGGCTTGGAGCCAAGGGAAAAAATGTGAGTTGTTTTGTATGTGCCTGGTGTGGTTAACTTCAACCAGCCAGTTTCTGTTAACAAAAACTGCATACATGACTAAAAATTCCAGTCTAAAATTTAGAAATCAAACCTTGTTTTAAAATAACAACTGTATCATTTGCGTGTTTCGCAAGAAAATGTCATGAAGATATTTTAGAGTTTGATTACATCTGCTATCAAAATACAAATCCAGATTTTTTTGTGACATGATTTGTAAGTAGCACATGTGTGGCTATCTTTACATATCAATGTTCAAGCTAGGGATGTTTCAGGTAGCTGTGATTAGGAAGCAAACAGTTTTGAATGTAGACATGCTTTTTACTTTCTGTGCTACATAGAATGCTGTAAGTTTTGAAGCCAATTAAAATAACTGCCTGCATCAGTGTTCTGAGGAACTTAAAATATAATCTGCATTTGCTTTGAGGCTGTTCAGTAACAGCAATGCTGAAGCAGTTGACAAGTCTCCCCCCTTTTACTCTTCTGCTCTCAGTTAACGTATTTTCCCATTTCTTGAGATGAACAGTAGGGATCAGTAGAGTAAAGGCAGTATAACAAAGCAGCTGAATTTGTAGATGCCATTTATTTGTACCATATTTTAATGAAGCTCTGCATTAATTAATGAGAAAATACAGGCTCTTTGTTTAAGTGTTTGCATTTCTTACTAAAAAAACCAAAACCAATTCTCTTTTTGTGTTCTCTTCAGGATGAAAAGTACTATTTGCGATCAGTGGGTGAAGATGCTAGGAAGGTGAGTTATTGGAGATTACAGTTCCTATATTGTAAAGATGCAGTTTAGGAATATTTTTTTAAAGCCCATTGTCGTCTGCTGGGTGTGTAACACAGACACACAACTTACTTAGGGTCACTTGGTTTGTGAATCTGACTGGATTTAGGTCAGAATATTTAAATCTAAGTGTCTGAACTAGTTGCTGTTATATGAGAGCTTAGCTGATCACTGAAGAATACATGGCTAACCTCCCTTTCTTTAGCTTTTGTTGTAAACTAATATAAAAGGATTTCTGCCGATCTCTTGCTTTTTCAGTGTGATTTCTAGCAGTTCAAAGCAGCTCTCTGGCTGTTCTTGTTAGTATCACTGAGCGAGTCATTGCTGAAGAGCGTTGCTGTGTTCGGGTATTCACCAATACTGAAGTTCCAGCCCCATGTTTCATATGATGGGAAAAGATAGTGAAGTGCTCCCTCATTTAAATGTGCATATGTGGTTCTCTAAGAGTTATTGTCCTTCTGTTTCAGGACATTGCAGATATCAGGAAGCAGTTTCCTGTTTTGGCAAAAGATGTTCAAATTCCAGAGTATTTTGAGAAGGAACAGTTCTTCTCTAGTGTCTTCCGCATCAGCTCAGCTGGATTACAGTTATGGACACATTATGATGTAGGTAATACACGGGTTTAGCATAAAATGTTGCAGATGGCATTACAGAGTTGAGATAATAAGGTGCAAATCTCTGACAAAGATCAGAGAATCATAACAGACTTCACATTTTTTGAAATAGTGAAATGAATCACATTCAGTGGTACAGTGAATTTTAAATAGATGTATTGTGTGGGCATAATATCTTAACTGGGTTTATGTCTAATTCCATATTTGTGAGATTAAATGACGTTTTATTGTGTTCTTTTTTTTACTGTTTTGAGTTTCAGTTAAAAATCTGAAACACAGTAACTTTCAACATTTTTGTCTTCAACATTACATTCTTTTTTTTTTTATTCTAATGGCCATATTAGAATAAAATCCAATTGTACAACACATTGCCAGTTGTACAATGATTGTAGTAATTTGTGGCTGCAATGCGATAGATTCCAAATAAGATTTTCTTATAACATTGTGCAGTGAATTCTGAATAAATTTACTTATAAGAAAAATAGTTTTTGCCTTATAATTAGGAAAAAGGATCCTTATCAATAGAAAGTGAGTCAAAAAAATGAAGTAAGGGCAACATTGAAAGAGAAAAGGAATCCATAATATATTTTGTATTATATCTTGGTGGTTTATGTGTCTAAAATATGGTATGGCTTTGTGTTTTAAGATGGAAGAACTTGATTCTTGGTTTCAGGAAAAACACAAGATAGTTGGAAAGCAATACTGTGTCTCCAGACACACTATTTGTCAAGAGTGCAGTCAAGGGGATAAAGTTACTCAAAATTTTAAGTTTTTTTAATTAACTCTATGTGGAAGCTCTTGTAGCTAACTCTTAACATGGGAAGGTTTTAATAATTCCCTCTTTTAAGCTAATAATTAATTAGCTTAATCCTATATAATCACTCTTAACTTTTGGCTGACATCTCTCTTATTATGCTTATTCCAGGTAATGGATAACTTCTTAATCCAAGTCACAGGGAAAAAACGAGTTGTTTTGTACAGTCCTCGAGATGCACCATATTTATATTTATCAGGTATGCATGTCATAGGTATCTAGGTCAGAGTTTGGTGATCTTAGCTGCCTTGTGGCAGTTGCACTGTAGAAAATAGTCACTAACATAGGACTTGATATAAAAAAAGTAATTTGTTCCCTTAACTCTAATCCTGTTGGCTTTAGTCAGAGCTGAGAACAGCAGCTTTGCGTGATTGTTTTCAGCAGCTAACTGGAGGAGTACAGTGTTCTGTCTGGGCTCAAAATAGTGTTTTAAATGTCAGGAGAAGTGTTTTTTAATGTTAATAAGGTTGCAGTCACAAGACAAATGTAGACAACACTGCCATCAGGTTTCCCTGTTTTTTAGAAGACTTACAGCACAATAAACCAGTATTAAATTTGATTCAAGAACTGCCATTTCCAGCAATGTGATGATGCTTTGTTACTGTTGGAAGAGTAAGAATATTTATTCACTGAAAATTTTCCTAGGTACTAAATCAGAGGTGCTGGATGTGGATAACCCAGACATGGAGAAATATCCCCTTTTTGTGAAAGCCAAGCGCTATCAATGTCTTCTGGAAGCTGGAGATGTGTTATTTATTCCAGGTAAGTAACAAATGGTTCCTGAACGTGGCATTTTCATTTCTAGAGATGGTAAGAGGTTACTAAAGCATTTCTATGTTTAAGTGTTCTGTGAGAAGTGTTGGCAACTTTTCTACTTCCCACTGTACAATTACTCTGATAAAAGCTATTATTATATCTACCTACAAATCTTACTGTTCCTCAAGTTTAAACTTTGTGCTTATGAATTTGTGTCTTAGTAGATTAATATAATAAAATCACCTTGTGAAATCTGAAATTACTTCAGTGACTTGAGTTTACCAGTGACAAGATTTGAGTAAAGTACCATTTCTGTTCTGTAGCTCTGGCACTGTGGGGCGTGTGATCTGGTGAGGATTTTGGATGGTAGAGTTACTGGACCTTCTAGAAATTTCTAATCCTCTCTGGGGAATGGAAAGACAAGTCCTTATCACTTTTCTGAACAAGCAGAAAACAGAAAGCTCCTTCCTGGGCTGAGATGACAAATTCTGGTAATCAGGGAAAAGCATTTGAATTACTCCTATTGAACTACTCCTACTTGTTTCTGATTTTATTTTAACTCTTCATGAGATTGCGGCAGATACTTACTCTGTCACTTTTATATTATCTGGGCAATGTAAACAGGTCAGTAAACAAAAAGGCAGTAGGTTTTTAGGAAGTTATTCTAAAATAGTTTCTTAGCCTCGGACTTGTTACTTAATTTTGAACTTACCATTTGTTTCTCTTCCTAAAGAAACTTTTGGTTACACTTAGATAATGGTGTGTCACACTGTTGCTGTGTTAGCAGGTTCAGAAGAGGGGCTGCTCCTGACTTCTCCATAATAACCACACACTTTTCTCAAAAAGCATCTTTTTTGAGTGATACGCATTCCAGGTTGCTGACAAAGTCTTACCTTCATCCCACACATGCTTATCATTTGCTTACCTTTGAGTATCTCTATACTTCAGCAAGTGTTGCTTTCATGTGAAGTTATGGATTGACGTAAACATCTTGAGGAACTTCTTAACTTTGGTACAATGCAATATATTCAGGGATGAATATTAATAAATAAACAAAAAATATGGTAGTTGAGGCTCTTCCTCAACTAGGTTTAGTTTGGGCAATTCTGACACTTGTTATGAGTCACATGGAAGTTTTGGATAGTAATTTTTATTTTAGACATTCTTCTTTCTGCAGCTTTGTGGTTCCACAATGTAATTTCTGAGGAATTTGGAGTGGCCCTGAATGTCTTTTGGAAACACCTTCCCGCTGAATCCTATGATAAGACAGACACTTATGGAAATAAAGATCCCATGGCAGCCTCTAGAGCTATACAGATCTTGGACAGGGCCTTGAAAACACTTGAAGAACTACCTGAGGAATACAGGGATTTTTATGCTCGGAGAATGGTGTTACGCATCCAAGAAAAAGCCTATAGGAATGACTATGGATAAAATAACACATTGTAATTCAGCAAGCTTCTGTGCAAGTAGAAAATTGTATGTCAATGTGGAAACTGTCCATGTGTACATACATTTTGAGACCAATAAAAACTGTTGGTAAATATTCATCTATAACGAAGTTGATCTTGTACATTTTTTTTCTTGTTTTTATCATGTGTAGTGAGTACAGAGTTTGCTTGATCTGGCAGTAGTCCCTTTTCTACAGTGATATACACATTTGCAGTGCCTGCATTTATAACTGTACTGGTTTGGAATGTTCTACTTAAATTTTTCTGACCAGAAGTCCTGGTGTCTGGGCTGACAGCGTGTATGCTTACAACTAACTGCACGTCTTCTTGAGTCTGACCTCATGAAAGTTTAGGAAAGCCATAGTGGTTTCTGAGGAAGTCTAGGAAAGCCATTGTTGGTGGCTGTAATGGTCAAGGTTTCTTTTTGAGTAATAACCTGAGAATAAGTGTGGGGAGTTTCTTCTCCCCCTTGTAGTGAGACTGAGAGTGGGTATGAGGAAAAAAGCGCAAAAGCTAATCATGCCAGTTAAGCTTGGAATTGTGCAACAGCTTGACTGCAAGGTAAATGATTTGCCCTTTTCCTACCTGCATAATGTATTGTGGAGAAAACCTTGTTTGTCACTGCTCCAGTGCAGTCAGGTAGCATTGCTGTTTCTGTAGCTGTGAAACACTTGCAACTAATGTGCCCATAAATCCATTCAGCTACCGTCCTAGAATCTGCAGTGGAGTTCATAGTTCTGGAGTAGGCACAGAATCTATTGGGAGCTGTACTTGAGGTGCTCTTTGTTACCATATGAGAGGGGGTTTGCATTGCACCTTTTGGGATGGAGCCTATTGTTCAGGCATCGTAGGTTACTTTTTCAGATTGCAGTGCTTACAAAAGCCTTGTGAAATAAAGGTGGGGATCTCACAAAAAGGATAGGCTTGTCATTGTCTCTTTGAAATCCCTCTGATGTTATTACTTGTGCTATTTGGGCAATGCAGCATTTCTGTGACTAAGGTCAGTCTGTAATTTCTAACAATGTTTTTTGAGAACTGTAACTTGTCAAAAGCTCTTAGACTAAATAGATATGTAGTGTTAATAAAGTGCTGGAAAAAAAAAAGCTTTCTCCAGAAGAGCAGGAGCTTGAACACTGTGCAGATTATTCTTCTAAACCTGTTCTTCTTGGCAATTCAACACAGTGAAAATAGTCTGGTACCATGTGAATGGGCACCCGGCCACCTCAATGAATAAGCATGAATGGAACCAGCCAAGCGATTCTGATGGGCATCATTGTACATTCTGAGGGTAGAATTTAAATTTGGGATCACAAATAGGTCTCCCAAAATTTTTGTTCAAAAAGGAACAAGGATTGCTTGTGCATACTGCTGAGACAGACTGTTAGGCTGGGGTAACCTCTTGGCTTTGTTAGATCGGTGATGTCGAGGGCCCCATCTGAATTGCAGAGGTGAACAGAGCATATTCTTTGTGTGTCGGGACTAAATGGAGAGGCTCAGAGAGCCTGCAGGGCTAGACAAAGCTGTGTTCCAGCATTGTGCCTGCACAGCCATCTCTTTTAACTATAACTGCCTCAATATACTGGTACAGAGAAGTCCTGTGCTGCTCCTGCATCCTGCCATTGCTTGATTCTCCAGTCACAAAAGGGACATGATAGCCCGGTGTTCTCAGGCCCCCTCAACACTCAGTAGTAAATAAGGGAACCTTTGTGGAGCAGCAATTGGTGTGTGAGTGACCTGCTGCTGCCTCACTTGTGGGAAGTGCCTGCTGTGCTTCAGAGAGGGTGGGAGGGCTTGAGGCTCTTGGAGAGAGGGAAAGTAAAGGAGGAAAATCCTGTGGGTGAAATACATTCACTGCTGTGCCTCCTAATGGTGATATTAAGATTTTCAATAATACTGAATTCATAGTATGTATGTAAAAAGCATAAATAAGACCTGTCAAGCCACAAGTATTCAGAATGCTATTTTGAATATTTTTCAATCCTCTTTTAATTTTGTAAGGGAAGCTATTAAATTATTAGTCTAAACACCTTAGGCCAAATGAAACCCTTGCATCCCTCAGCTGCAGTTAGTGCTGAAGTAACCCTGCAGGAAAGCTGCAACAGTACACTTGTTTAGGCTTGCATGAAGTCTGGATTGGAAAGTGTATATCTGGCTGAGAAGAGAGGGTCATGTTGAATTAAATGTGAGCCAGTGCTATAGCAAATGCAGCTATTCAGCTTCATGCTACCAAGTTTTAAATGAAGCCTTTATTTCACTTTGAAAGAGTTTCTTAAATTTCTTATTTAGTAACGTCTATAAAACAGTTGTTCTGAAATGCTATAAAAGGAGAAAACAAGCAGCTTAAAAATGCATTTTTCTTAATTTGAACATAATGTGACTAGTGATAAAGATCTGGAAGTTACTGTGTTAAAAAAATGAAATTATTTGGTGCTTTCTAACCACTGTGCTACATGGTGTGAAACAGGCAATAAAGTGATGAATGAATGGTGAAAGCATTAAAGGAATAACTTCCAGCTAACATAGTGAGAGAATATAAGTAGCCACTACTGAAATAACAAAGAATTAGAGCTACTGACATTTTGTGGAAGTTTGTCCTTTAGAGACCTAAACCAAAATGGGATCATGCCATAATAAAACAAATGAAGTTGTGGTAACAGGTATTAGAAAATAAACACTGACCATCTTAAGCATTCAAAGCAGCCACTTCAGCTGTCTTCTGTCTTCAGCAGAGGAGCTGGGTAATGCAGACTGCCCAGCACTGAAAGTTAAGTTAAGATACTTACATAAAGACAGTGTCTGAAATCAGCAGTTTAAACTTGGTCTGTATACCCCAAACTTTGAATTACTCTAAAAATTTGGTGACTGAGACCTTTAAAATGGAAGTCAAGACCTGGAAAGAATTATTTATTCTTGGCTATATGAAATATAAAGGACGACAAATGTTTCAGATTTCATTTTTCTTAATGTGCTTTTTGTGGAAAGAGCCAAATGAAAAAAAATTTATGTCAAAACATTTTTTTGGTCAAACTATTAAACAGATCATTAAAAATCTGCCTGTTATGTATGTGCTGACAATTTGATGTACCCAACTTAAGAACTTCTTTCTTTCCAGGAGCTACACAGGGTCTAGGTTCTTAATACAAGTGTCAAGTTAAATGCCTCATGTGAAAGGGTTTGACTTCATCATGAAGGATCAGAAATATATTTGCAATTCTTTTTAAATATAAAACTATTCACCTCATTCATGCTGTTGGTCCCACAACAGGACTAACTTGACTAAGATGAAGATGATTTTATCATACTACAGGTTATATTACATATGATGTGATCCCAGTATGCATTACTTCCCAGCTTCAGGGAAATTCCTGTACAAACTTGATTCTTTTTTTCCTCTGACCAAAATTTATCTTCCCAAACCTGATGTTTTCATGTATATGATACAGGTGTTGAAGATACACGTTCTGAGACAGTAACTTTTACAAGAGATGCTCTGTAGATCGGTATCTCTCAATAATCAAAGATTCTGGTGTTACTAGAAGGACAGATGAAATGTTACATTTTTTAAACAGTTACCTAAGTCTGCAGTAAAGTTGCATGTTAAGATTTCCTATTTTACTTTGGGTCAGACTCTAGGAGTGGGGATAGATTCTGAGTTCTGTATGTGGCAATTCCTGGGAGCAAGGATCTCTTTTAAGTGGCCATTTCTAAGATCAACAAGAGCAGATTACTTTCTTTCCAGTTCTTCAGATCACTTCCTAGTCAACACTTTTAAGAGCAGATTGAAAACCTTAAAAGAACTGCTCAACCATGCAAAACACGCAGCTCCACGTGCGATGCCACGTTCATACAAAAATGCTCTGAAGCTACTGCTTGCATTAATAACACAGATCATAGCAATGGACAATTTTTGCTGTGAAAACATTTATACTTCAGCTGTCAAACAGTACATCAATTGCTTTAAACTTCCATCGCACAAAATCAATGTATTTCTCGTGACAGGGAATGGGAAGGAGCTGGGCACACAGTCCGTAAGGGATGCAATGGCTTTGTCTGACACCCAGGCTTTGGAGTATTGCTCAGAGGGTAAACTCGGTGTGGGAGATGCAAAGAGCCTTGTTCTGCCCTTCAGCACCGGTATGTCTCTTGACTGCTTTCTGTGTCTTGCAGCAGTGCTTTCTTTGGAAACAATTCAGCTCTGAAGTGCCAGGTTTGACAAAGGAAACTAACAGTCATGACTGAAAGTGCTCTCTTGAGAGCTTACTAAAAGAAAGAAAATTTATTTTGAACTTAGAAATAATAGCACTCTGTTCCTTTTCAAGTGTGTAAGATGTTTATACACATCAATTAAAAACAGATAATAATTTATTTTTTCCTTTTTTTTCTACCAGATGATTTTCTGGTCATTTGCTTAAGTAGAATTTGACACTTCTTGGGTCACTTGAAAACATGTAATGAAGCTCTAATGACAGGAAGGGACGACAAAGCCATCACTACTTTATAACCCACATTACACTAACTGCAAAATGACTGCCTGAATCAGTCCTCCATGGTTTCCACAGTGATGTGGAACAGCTAATCCTGTGCAAGTGTTGTTTGTCAGCAGGAAGAGAGAATTATGCTGTTAATACCAATACGATGATTTTTAGTCAGGAACAGTATGTCTGGCACTGGAAGAAGCAGTGCCTATCTGCCACATAGGTGTTATATGATCTTGCATT